AAAGAATACTATTTTTCTTTTCACCAAAAATTATTGTTAGTTGACAAATCACTTTAATACGATGCCCTTTTTTTATATAAGATCATTGTTCTAGACTCTTATCAATATTCCGATACGATTACTAATATCTTTTTTCTTTTTGATTTTTTCATTTTTTAATTTATATAAATTGTACAAGAAACATGCTCAACATATGCTTAAAAATCTCATAAACTCATTTATCGTTTCACATACAAAAGAAAACAATGTATTACTTACCTTAATATGTGGCGTAACATTTATGTTATCAAGAGAGAGAGAAAGAGAGAGAGAGTCTAGAATAAAAGAGATTTCGCCGCGTCATTGAGAATGACCACTTAACTTTCACATAGTTCACGTTCAAGCAAATGCACAGGTTGATTTATAATTTTTATTTTCATTTATATTTTCATTACGTGAGAAAAGAAGCGGGAACTTTTAAGAGACGCCGAAATATCAAGGAGCGCTCTTATTTACTGGCTGTCCGTACTAATTGTTTGGTTCGTCGTTATTTATTAACGCGTTAATGTAAATAGAAATGTTTAATGAGATCTACTATATAATGGTAGATTGGTGTCATTTCACACGTTACGTTTGGTATATTTTAAACGCTTGATTACATCCAAGTTTAACGTGTGTACGAGAATTTTTACGAAAAATCGAAGCATTATTCTAAATGAATATCCTTTATTTAAGTAATTGGCATTAAAATACAACGCAATAATAAGATATAGATATGATTTGTATGACGACACTCCTTCTGTATATATGTGTAGAGGTGTAAAAAATTCTGTAATATCCTTACTTGTACTATATACTATATACTGTCCTAGGATAAACGTGGTTGCTATAAAAACATGTTTACACGACATGCATTATATACATCATATATATTATATATGTATATATATGTATGTATACATAAAGATCATAGTTATGATAATAATTGCCTTTATAAAAGTATAAATAAAAGAAACAATTAAAATTACTGTATCATAATATTGACTGTAAATATTTTAAAGATATGTGTGTGTGTGTGTGTGTATGCATGTGTGTATATGTGCATATACATATACATACATACATATATATATATTAAATGTTAAGCATAGATTTTTTAAAAGAAAGTAATATATAGGTAGATCAATTAAAGAAAAGTATGAGAATATTAACTATATTATATATTATACTATTGTGGATAATGTTTGCCTTGGACTGAATATACAAGGTCAGCCATACCAGGTCATCTGAATAACTCTTTTAATTTTTGAAATACAGAAAAACGTTTGGAACTAAAATTATTTGGTTCAGAGCGAGCAAATATTTACTTAGGTACACGTGTTTACGAGGTTTGACGACCACTTGTATTTTCTTAAATGGAATCGCGTATTTTTTAACATGCACGATTGTAGCCCCTCTTAAGATGCATTCAAATATCGCAGTAACATAAAATCGCTGAGGTTTCAGATATAATAACGAATGAAAAATATACATTCGTTATGAACTTCTCGAACAATGAGTTCTATTCTCGGTTCTATTCTTGACAACAGAAATCTATTGACTTTTGGCAAAAGAGAGACATCGAAACCTTTAAAATTCTCACGAGCACTAGTGAGTAATAAATCAAGGGGCGCGGTAGCGGCCCGAAGGCAAGTTTAAAGTTGATATTACAGCAAATATTTAAAATAATGACAAACCACGAAATACAATGTCAACTAATTCACTATATTATACATTTAAGTGTTGCTTGCATTATCAAATTATTGCTCCATTTTAGTTTCAAACATTTTCCTACATCTTCAAAATAAAATAACTATTCATGTGGCTCGTTCCTGGAGACTCACCCTGTATGTGTATATATGTGTATATATGTGTGTGTTCGCATGTATATGTGTGTGTATATATATATATGTATTCGTGTGTGCATACACATACGCGCGCATACATATGTATATATACATATATGATATAATAAAGTAAGAACATCAGTAGTAACAATGTATTTCTACTTTTAATATTAATATAAATTCTAGGGAGACATAGTCTGTATTGGGAAAGTGTGTTCCACAGAAATTTTTTAATTTAACAGAGATATAGGAGTTTATTGATTTCGAACATGGTGCCTAATCAAGAAGCTACACAGAGTGTTTCACATTGCAATGGTATTTTGTTCACTTACGTTTATACAAGACGGCTTACGGTGTATATATGTATAATTAGATTTTTTCCTTATCCGTTTCTTTTAAACAGAAACGTTCACGTTCGAACTGAACTTACACAAATCGAATTATACCAATCCAAAATTATTAACGGTGAAATAACAAATTCAATTAATGAGACTGCTCTGTTTTTATCCTCTCCTTTTTGGAATAAACGTACACGTGACGCTGGAACGTCGAGTAAGGAGAGTTAAACCGTTTTGTAATTTCAGTGAATTGGTATATCTACTTAATAACATAACATTAAATATGTAACACACATACTTTGCCATAACGATATTTCGCTTTCCTTTACCGTCGAAGATTGAATTTCTAAAGCAGCATGGGGCATCGATTAAGGATTAGAGTTGATTGAATTTTTAATACGTCGAACTCTCAATAAAAATACAAATGGACTGAACAAAATAATTGTACAACTATTTATAAAACTAAATTGCAAGGTCACCCTCATTGCTGGAAACAATACGTAATGTGTTAAACTATCCGTGGTAAAAAAGTGGATGTATTCTTTACACTCGAGAGAACGATCGTAGTTACCTAGGAAATGCACCGCCTATATTTTTCATCTGAACTCATTTATATGTATATTTTATAAATTCGTGCTACGTAGTATTTGGAGATGTGATATTATTATTATTACTACTATTATTACTATTATTGCTATTATTGCTATTATTGCTATCTTTATTATTACAAACTATCATGTATTTTAACGTATGCATTACTTATTTTTCACATCTTTTAAAGGGTATGATTTCATTTTTATTTACAAATAACACCTATGTCCTGATAACTGAATACCACGATTTTTACATAATATTATATAACGTGTAATATTATTTTCGTACTAAAAACTGTTTATGTATTGCGTGTACATTACACATAGATATATTGAAATGCGAAAAATATATACGTTATTATAACTTATTACATACTCTTAATTGTATGATTCGAGTAAATCGGATTCGAAAAACGTACATTAATATTATTTAAAAATCTTGGTATATATCGACTTAATGTAAAGAAAATAAGAAATTAAGGGAACTAAGCATTATAAGGTAGTCATAACAAGTTGTTGGTTGCATAAGTTGTTATATACAAGTATGTTACTTTAAATACTAAATCAAACTTTTAGAAAAGAAGCGAAAAAACCAAATGCAAGAGCAATTTGTCCGCTGCATCGCTGCATGTGCTCTATAGACTGCGCATCGATTACTGCTTACAGAATATTTGCTTAGGGCTTAGGACATAGTATAATTTAACGAAGAAATCCAGTTGTACTTATAATCGCGTACAATTGTCAAGTCTTCATTACCATTTCATGTCCAGTGAGTAAATCCTTTACTACAATTCTTCATAGAGCGTGTTCTTTGTGGGATGTTAATACAAGACAATAATATATTTAACAACAGCAGTTAAAAAAGCATGTAAAAACATTACACGTAATAATATCTCCCGTTCGGATGTTTATCGGTTAAAATTAATTGTATCGATTACGTTTTCGTTTATGCATTTAGAAATGAAATGGATTTGCAGAAATTGTTTCATTAAATCTTTTGATACTATGTCCTATGTACTATTTCTGATATAATTGTACGTATTATGTGTGGAACAACACATTCTATATAAAATTGATGTCCTATTCGATTCGAAGGGAAGTTTTACAAGCACATTACACGTGTAGGGCCATGCAGAAAGGCAAACGAGAAAAGCAACTAATGTTATCGAATACAATGTTCCTTACGATATGCACGCAGGATAGGAAACTAGTGTGTACGAAACGAAGTTATGTCTATTGCATTATTATACGACATTTAAAGCGGTGGTGACTTTAAATGAATTAAGTTAGCAAGCAAAAATTCACTATTCCTGCAATTTTTAGAATTATCACGCTCAAATATATGCCTTCAGTTACACTTTAACATATTACTATCGCAAAAGAACGAGCAAATGTTTTTTATTTCTTTCATCGGAAAAACCAAGTTGACACAAACACGATTTGCATATTTTGTATGTCGCTTCTGGTTTTATGCCACACTCTGTGTAATATCAATTTTGTAAAATATTGCTTTAAGTATATCGTGTACAGTAAGGTGTACATTTTAAGTGTATTATTTTTTATGTGTAAATAACTTGCATGTAAGGAGAGATTTATGTTACGAAAATAATGTAGTTAAGTACGAGTACATACGACATGAACATTATTTCTGTAGAATTTTTTATTTTTTTCCATAGACGTCTATGAAAATCACTGCTCTTTGTCCTTCACTCTCGAAATTCTCCTTGCATTTTTATGTTATTCTTCCAATTGATAAGGATTACAAATTAGTACTTTCGTACTAATTTCAATTTGGCAAAAGCATTAATATATAAATATTGTTTAAATTATTTATTCGTTATGTATTACAAGAAATGTTACATACTTATTATTTATAATTCAGTCAAAATAAGAGGGACCACACAGTACAATATGTTAGAATCGGCTACGTATTCCCAAGTGTTTTAGAAGATTATTTACGTTTGAACGTCGAGATTTGTTTTATTTTTAATACCTGCGTAATAATCTAACGTTTTAAATTGTAATGTATCAAATAAGTAACAACGTGAAACTATTGAAGATATTGTCTGGATTTAATTTGAAACATTTACATATCGTAGTGCATGTGCCGAACGTAATAATTTTCTAACGCATCTTATTTGAAAATGATCAAATTTTGATTATGTTGAGTTTCCCAGCCTCTCGCATCTGTATGTCAAGATTTAAATAGAAGTATGTAAGAGAAGATAATATCAATGTTGCTTCAGTATTTCAATGCACACGTCGTCTTAATAATTTATGCTCTTGATGTAACTATCCGTACAACAAGAACGAACTTTATTATAACTTTGTGTAATACATTAAAGCATAAAGTCTATGTTTTATTCTTGCAATATGATTCTAATGTGAAACACTACTTTTTTAACGATTTCAGAGATAGTCAACTCGTGCTGATATGTGCATTAATATATAAGACATGTACCATTTGTATCCTTATAAAATTGTATTACGTTTTTTGTTACCCATCAGTATTGAATAGATTTATATGTATATGTGTGTAATAGATACATATATACTATATATAATATTGATATCGTGCACGAATATTAATTAGAAACTGATTGAACGGGAAATGCAATCAGTCATGAGCGGAACTCGTAAAGAGGAAGACGACATATTTGCAATTCCATCGCAGATGAACAACGCGAAAAACTATCCAATTTAGATTATAAACGTGTCCTAGCTCTCGTCCACGAGCTACGGATATAACGAAGAAACATTATTTATACTTTATACTATTCCCAGAGCGAAAATGTGGATGCGAATTATTGTCGAATGATATTGAATAGAAACGGATAAACGGATAGAAAATCTGGTGGTGTTTGTACTTATAGTAGAACGCGTACAAGAGATCGACCGTGCTGCAGGCAACGCTGCGAAATGCGATTACAGTTTTAATAATTTTTGTTATCAACGAGTTACCTCTTTATGCTATCGAAAATTCAATATTTCAAGAGTTACGAAATTGTTCACGTATCAAACATTTCTTACTAGTTTTTAAGTTAATAAAAGGAATGCAGCATAATGTTGTATTTTTCAAATATGTATTATTATTATTATTATTATTATTTCATCCTGTAAAGTTCCCATCCTATGTTCATGTTTATCTAATGTACGGTACATATCGAGGGGCAAAGTTATCAATAATTGTATACGTCATATTTATTTGACTTCCTTATTATTATTATGCAAAATTGTAATAAAAATACACGAGTTTCGCACTCCTAGTGCATTTTAAATATATACTTACTTAACATTATGTTTTAAGATCTCAGTTCATTTGTACACAGCTTATTTACACGTATCAATTGTTTTAATTCTTAGTAACTAATTGCAAAAGTAATAAAGGGATGACAGCGAATGAAAAATTTGTTATGTAATCTAATTAATCTCCTAGTTAAAACTGTAATCTTTTCGCCAGTGAAGCACCATCCATCGATTCCAATAGTTTCCGTTTTAGACTAGGCTTCTCTTCTGGTTGACGTTTCACAGACGTAGGTAAAGGTAATCGAGGTCCGGGCGTCGGCGCTGGCTTGTTACTGAAGTATGGCATTTGCAGTGCTTGGTCGCACGTACACCTCTCTAACGGGTTTACGTTTAAAAAACTGGCGATTAAGTCTAGGAGATCATCACCAGCAGCAGTAAAGATGTGTTTCAGTGGTGTGCCAGGAAAAGGTTTGAATTGAATGAAGTCTGGTAATTCAGTCATTCCTGGCCATGTTTCTTCAGTAGGCGTACCTAGTGTCTGAAAACGGAGAACAACGTGTATAACGATGATATGAAAAAATACGCTGATACTAAAATTGTTATTAAAGACAGTACTTGAAATATCCTGGTAAGTTGATCCAAATCGGATTCCCCGGGTAAAAACGGTACACGTAATAAAAGTTCTGCTAATATACAACCGATTGCCCACATATCAATTCCAGTTCCATACAGTCGCGCGCCATATAGTAATTCAGGTGATCTGTACCACCTTGTTACCACTTGATGGGTATTTATTCGATTTGGCGAGCCAAAAAATTTAGCCAGACCAAAATCACCAATTTTCAAAACGCCATCGGCGTTAACAAGTAAATTGTTCGGTTTTAAATCCCTGTGAAGTATCCAGTTGTAATGCAAATAATCTAAGCCTTGTAAAGTTTGTATCATGTATGCTTTAATATTTGCAGCTGTTAAAACTATATTACTATCCTTTATTATTACTTCTAAATCTGTATCCATAAAGTCAAACACTAAGGAGACATTTGACTTGTGGCCGAAAACATCTAAAACGTCAATATCATAGTATAAATATCAATTGAACAAGACTGTATATAACCCACGCACATGCTTCTTGTTTACCTAATAAACCAATCACATTATCGTGCTTTAATTCCTGCAATAATTTAATTTCACGCAATGCTGTTCTGTTTATCCCATCCTTAGCTTCTGCACGACTTCCAACTTTAATCTGGAACAGTCGTGAACGGTATCAGAGGTGTTCGAGGAATGTTCATTTTTAGACTAAACTATCAAACAAATCATACCTTCTTCACAGCAACAATTTTACTCGTTTCGACATCTTTGGCTTTATAAACAGTAGCGAACTGTGATGAAATTCATAAATAAATTAACGATTTCCAAACGGATTTTTGCTCTCAACTAACCTGACCCTCTCCTAAGAAATCGATCTTTTCGTATCTTCGTAGTTTGTCTGACATAGTTCTCTAATATAATAATACTCTTATCTTCTGAACTTATTTTTTATTTGAAAAAATTGTACATATTAAGAATATTTTATACAGTTCATCAGGTACGCTGTAATAGAATAAAGTGTAGATGAACTTGACCTAACTTTCCAGGAGTCTCCTTCGTCTCCCTCTCCCTTTCCTTCAGCTTGCTCGCATTAACTGAAACCAGCCTAAACCTGGACTAAACACCTACTTATTGATCGTGTAAAAAAGTTTTCGAATGCCCTCTGCAATTTAAAACTGCCAGCGAAGTTGAAAAAATCAAGTAAACTTTCTTTACATAATTACGTATAATTAATTGTAACACACTTAATAAGCCGTACTGCGTACCGTACCTTAATAAGTGATAAATAAGTGTTACCTATTTGAAATGTACGCATTCATAAGAAAATTTAAGTATTATATAACCATGTGGATTTCATATGAAAACCATTAATCTTATCGCTAATGTCATCATCTGAAAATAAAAAATAGGATCCGTACTGGTAATTTATTAATAACGTACGGTAACTGGCAACTTGTTAATGAAATAGCAGTACTGTTATCAGTGTTGCACCATATGCATATAATCAAATGTTTCTACCAATTCGTATGAAGAAATGTAGTAATAGTCATATAGGATCTCTTAGACGTTAGACACGGGAACGATAATGGAGATGAGTTTGTTGGATCATCGTAGTTGCTCTTTTATAGATTTATCAACATTCATGAAACAGCTTCTTTTTAAATATACATCCGATGACTGTGATCGTTCTAATGTCATCTATTGCTATGCCGATTTCTGAACTCTAAGATATGAAACATGATTGCGAAAAATATTATGAAATTTTTACGTAAAAGCTTGTAATTACATTACGAAATTAATGAGCTCTAAAAGAATCAAGCGAAATTTAAGTAAACGGGACTGATAGTTTATTGGAAGCATAGTGAAAATAAAGTTGAACATTTGTTCGATCATTTTGTAATAAAATTGATGATAGCTGGGTGATAGATAGACTGGGGATATGATACTACTCGACTATTCCAGTGAAATGATGTAATTATGTATGTACATGCCTGTTCTAAAAATCATAACATGTCCCAATTCATAAGTTTAATAAATTTGTGATTCTGTTTCAACAATAATCGATCCCTTTTCCTTGAACAATTGTAAAAACCTTTTTCATACGTTAAAGACCGGTAATTATTACGAAATTCAGCGCTCGATGAAAGAGGGGAGACAGATCTCGCAACTGTCCACGTTTAAGCGTCGTCTGTCGTAATTAATTAAATAAATGAACGTGGCTGCGGGGCTTATCGAACATCAAAGACGAAAAATTACGAGTAGGATGAATGGCAACTGGACGCTAAGCCAGCTACAGTAGTAATCCAGTGCAACAGAGAGCGATATCGCGCCGAGACATGTCACAGGTCGAAAATCTCTTACTGACGATCGTTCTGATGTCAGGTAAACCAAGTCACGTGGATCTTTTAGAAACGTTTGATAAGCAAAGTGGAAACCCGTTTTAGTGAAACTCCAAATTTTGTTCAATTAAGTTCCAAGTGTTTGTATCCTTACACAATAGGGTGAACAGATTCAAAATTGTGCGTTCATTCTCTGATTGTGAAATACGTTTTTCATTTATCAGATTAAACTTGCAAAAGTTAACAGATCGTGATGAAATTATTTTCGAATTATTGCAAGCAGCGCCTCATTTTCATTATTTCTCTTTAAATACATGTATCAGTTTTTTTTCGAAGCGAAAGTCGTATGACGATTTCTACTACGAAGCTGGCAGAGGTTTTCTAGTTTTTCAATAAATTCTGTTTCTTCGTGATTTTAGCATACGCGTATCCGCAGAACACGCTGTTGAACGACGTGGGAACGATCATCAAATCTGTGTTCAAGGTTGTTCGTGAGCCAGCCACGTTCAATTTGTACACTAGGTATGTGTTTTGCTTTGTTGAATTCATTATTATAATGAAACGAGGCACGTTCTTAAAATAGAATGATTATTACAATTTAATGCTTGATATTATTGAACGATAAACGAGATGCTTTATTAATAGAGTAAATGGAACAATTAGTATTTGATATCGTTATCTATGCAGCAAACAGAACTGACATTTCTAACTACAATTGATTCAATTTTTATTCAAATTATCTTATTTACGCTACTTCCACATAAATCAGTCTTGAAATTTCAAAATTCAATTACGTTTGATGCTGAACATTTGTTTTTAGTAAAAATTCCATAATTTTGTATACGGTATTACAGTTAGAAAAATAAAATAAAATTTGAGTCATACAACAAGACTCGTTTATCATTGGCAACGCGCAACAAATTTTTCGCCAGTCCAAAGGATGCGAGCTTTATCGTTCTCGGTTCGTAAACGATGCATCAATTTCTTAACGATACGTTGCAATCAGCAACTTCTATTCTCAGCGCTGACGCTCCACTGACTATTATCGATGCGTGAATATCGCGGACGCGCCTCCTTTTCTTTTTTCTTTTTACGTTATTCTGCGTTAACGCCGCGCATCGACGATCGGAGACGGTAGAGAAACACGAGGCGCCACTTATACATACAGTTAACATCGTCGCCGTCGCTACTTTGATTCCTCGTTCTCCTTTCTTTATATTCACCTATATGTATGTAAAAACTATTATCATACTGCTCTATTCTTGGAATTGGAGAATTATTCAAATGCTGCAATGAAATTTTTAACAAAGATAACGAAATTCTCTCTATGCTTTAATAGGTGCATCAAATTTAACACAGTGAAATCCATAAATATTCATACGCATATTCGAATTAACGAATTAATTGTTGTTTAGATGTTGCAGAGATATGATGAATAACAACAAATTGACAAAAATTACTATAGATCGGATTTACCGAAAAAAATTTTGAAAAGTGCATAATCTAGTTTTAATTCTTATTCGACACTCTAGCATGCTTTTTGAAGGTTTTTATATGCACATAAAAAGTTGCATTAAAAATCGATTCACGCTGCTATGACCTATAAACGGTTGGAAGTCAATAAAATTGCAGGATTAGAGATCATGGATGAACGTATCGACAGATATTGAACTTTAAGTTAAGGTATTGCATATAGTAATTACACTTGCTTGTTACACAAAGGGAGAATCCGTTCGATGAGGAGCAGTTGTTTCTGAATGACACCGAGACCCTTTACGCTTCTCATTTCAACGAAAGCCGACCAACCAAGTTCATCATTCACGGATTCAGTGACACCGGAAACGAAGCCTGGGTACGAGGTTTGATAGATGGTACGTAAAACATGTAAACGAGGACGAAGCGAAAATAGAAAACGATAGAAAGCGATAAGAATAAAGCGTCGCGTAGAAACGATGTACGTGGGGGGAAGGAAAACGATTTCCACAGAATTTCTAGAAGTGTCGACAACTTCGTCGGCGAGTCAGTGAAATTTAATTACAATCAGGGTCAACCCGTTTCGGTAAACACGGAATCGACGTCGTCAGGTTCAAAGGTCAATAGCGTGATAACTAGTTAATTAACCACTTAACAAGTTTCTGTTCTCCCTTCTTTTCTTCTTTCGCTTTCTCGAGCTAAGATCTTGATGTAATTATGAGAAATTCTACTACAGGTTTGTTCTATCAAGATCACCTTCTTCAAGTCTCCGATATTTAGAAAATTTGTTGATAAATTATGTATCATCTTTTATAAACGTCAATTCTGAATATTTTTGTCAAGTTATCTGTCTTTAAAAATAATATGTATCTCATTCGTTGGACAGCAAATATATGTAATAATGGGACGAAATTGCAGCGTATCTACTTCACGAAGACGTGAACGTGATAGTGGTTGGATGGGGTGCTTTAGCAGCAGAAGTTTATCCGCTGGCTGTTAACAATACGCGACGCGTAGGCAATTTTCTTGGAGATTTTCTAGAGTTTCTAAGTCGTGAATCGAGTCTTGAATTCAAAGATGTTCACATCAGTGGTCACAGCTTAGGCTCGCACGTAGCAGGGTTTGCTGGAGCTTATTTAGACGGCCGCATAGGTAGAATAACAGGTACAACAACATGTTAGCTAGACAGATCGATTTATTCTATCTGTTCAGAAAAACATTATGTTATTTGTATATTTGTCAACATTGTGTTATTGTCAATATAAAGGTCTAGATCCAGCTAGCCCATTGCTCGAGACTGTTTTCGGTATCGTCGATCCGGAACGCAGACTAGACCCAACTGACGCGCAATTCGTAGATGTGATTCACACAAGCGGGCCTGCATTCGGATTCCTTGCCCCGCTTGGCCATGCTGATTTCTACCCCAATAGTGGAAAGTTCCCGCAACCAGGATGTTCATTTATACCGACGACAAGTAAAAACTTGTAGCATATTTACATGAGACTTTTAAATTAGTTTTAGTTTGTTTTTAATTACATACGTCAAACAATTGTCAGTTTATTGCAGCCACTCGCGAGCGCATCAATATATGACGGAGAGTATAGGTAGTACGGCTGGTTTCAAAGCAAGGAACTGTGAAAGTTGGGAGAAATACGAAGAAGGACGTTGCGATTACAACCCGGTCGTTCTGATGGGAGAATACGCGTCTACATCGTAAGTCACTCGTTTCGACTTGAATTTTAATTGTACGTATTGTTGTCAGTGAAATGATCGTTCCAGATTGCGAGGAAAATTTTATCTGGCAACGAACGACGCCTCTCCATTTGCGATACAATAACCGACGATGGATACTGGCGTATTGCGGTCGATTCTACTTGTGACATGAAAATGATCTGCACTAGTCATTTACAAAATCACCTTATTTATGCAGCGTGCACAGCTTTATTCACATCTTTTTGCTGTTTTTATTATTATTATTTTTTTAATAAATCGAACGGAAGGTGGAAACGTTGTGCATGAAAAGTACAAATTATATATATTAATTAAATAATGGCACATTCTGATTATTCCTTCTTCCGCTGTTCGTTTGTTTGTGCACTGAAAAAAGTGAAGGAAATAAGTATAAATATGGGTAAATATATGTATATATCGCATAGTCAAACTTCAATTGCATACTTTATTATTAATTGCGTTGAATATTAGAGGTGAACCAGAGACGTGTAAACAATTGTAACTGTCATGTTAAAATAATTCAATGTGATTACGATTAATAAATGAAAATGTACAATATTAATGAGATAGTGGAATATTGACGAGGAGTGTCGTATCAGAACCGATCAAATGTGTTGCATTGAGGACCTCGTTTCGGGCGATAACTCTGTACAATGAATCGCGTGTGTTTCTTGCTCTTGTTAACGATGCAGTTACCAACTACGTTTTGCGTTAATGAAAATCACATAATCCGCGATTATTTCGCGTTCAGAAAAGTACAAAGGATTATGGCATTCTCTTGTAACACTGCAGACAGTGGGTAACAAATCTATGAACGATTTATTAATTCGGTCGCATAAGTTGTTAAGTATTTTTTTTTCTTCTCTGAGACAGATGATTTTATACTTGCGAGAACGTTTAGTGATATGTACGTTGCGTATATTTCGATGTTGAACTCCACGAATGATTCGCGTTTAAATATTGGGAAAATTTTGAGAGCAGAATACCACCCATTGGGCGTTTTCTTGGACGTTCGTTGCGATCGTAAGCGATATACGACAGTCCTCGCAAGCGTAAGTATAATAATACTTCAGTTTTAATAATCAGGGCTAACAAGAAGTGACATATGTTAAATAAAGCGCGAGTAATAATTGCTTCTTACGTAAATAAAGATTTACTTTCATAAAATATTGCGGATTTCAATTTATTTTCTTTAATTTTTAAATCCCAGTAATATAGAATATAAAATTAAAAGTTACAATTGATAAATCGTAGAGTTATACCTTTAATATCTGTCCGAAACAGGCAGCAAAATATTCTATGTACGACGAGATGCACAAGTGGTTGATCTTGGTTTCAAATCTGAGCTACGTATTGGAAATATTGAACGACGATGCGTTTACTCTCTCAACTGACGTTGTAATCGCTGTGCCGTCCAAGAGTAATTACGCTTTGTACGATGTATACAATCCGTGTAAGGATCGAGGTGGATCGATGAATGTAACGTACTTTGGAATTTGGGATGCTAAGACCGGATTGAACATTATCCTAAATCAATCAAAATTCGAGAGGAGATTAAATTTACACGGGATGAAACTGAAAGTTGGCGTTGTAGTAAGTTTGTTATAGTCATAGAAAAATTGAATTCGCACTAAGTACATAAAAATTACTATGCTAAAAAGTATAGAAGGAAATATCTAATTAAGTATTGACGCTGACGAAAAATTTTTTTCTTCAAAATTTCGAAAAATGCTTCAAATAAAAGTTGTTTTCCTTCTAATTTCGATATTTAATGAGTTACGTATGATTATTTGGCATTTTATTGATGTTGACAAAATCCGACCATCCCAGCGTCGAAACAGCGAACTTTTGGAAAAAAATTTCGTTTTTTGCCCATAACTCCCAAACGGATGAACGTAGGGGGGGTATGTATAGGGC